GAGAGTAAGACGGTTTACCCCACACAGATGGGGCGCTTCAAATGGCTGTTCCTCCTGTGCCTGGTTCTGACGCTGGGTTTCGTCTGGTTCTCCGGATCCTACCTACATAAGAGCCTGGCCAAAAGCAAGGTGAATTTAGCATCATATCAGGAAACAAGGTGAGGCAATGTCAAAGTAACAGAGCATATATGGCCCAACAAAAAAGGAGGAAAAAATTAGGAAGGGGTGTGTGGGTTATCCTGTATTGTGGCTATATATGGCAAGAAATTGGACATAGCAAACCATGGTGCATTTCAAAACCTAACAGAAAACCTAACATTGAATGATATTGCACCCAGGGGAATTCACTGGTTTTCAACCTCTTTCCTGCATTTTTGGTGAAGCTCAGTGAAGTTTCCTCGCTGCAGGTCTGAGGAAACATGACAAGCATACTTTTCTTAAGTCCTAACAGGGGATCTAATAGTAATGTCACCTATAGCTTGTGGTAGTCAGGTATCCTTGTACTGTTAGCTTCTCTGTTAGATTTCTAACAACTGAAACCTAACAGCCTGATGATGCAGCCTGACACACTGTGAAAAACACGGCACAGTCATTCTGAACGACCGTCTAACATATAACACTACTGTATTAAGCACACCACATGTGGTTATCTACATGTTGTTATCTCAGGGATCCTTGCACTGTTAGCTTCTCTGTTAGATTTCTAACAACTGAAACCTAACAGCCTGATGATGTGATGATGCAGCCTGACACACTGTGAAAAACACGGCACACATTCTGAACGACCGTCTAACATATAACACTATTAAGCACACCACATGTGGTTATCTACATGTGGTTATCTCAGGGATCCTTGCACTGTTAGCTTCTCTGTTGGACTTCTAACAACTGAAACCTAACAGCCTGATGATGCAGCCTGACACACTGTGAAAAACACGGCACACATTCTGAACGACCGTCTAACATATAACACTATTAAGCACACCACATGTGGTTATCTACATGTGGTTATCTCAGGGATCCTTGCACTGTTAGCTTCTCTGTTAGATTTCTAACAACTGAAACTTAACAGCCTGATGATGTAGCCTGACACACTGTGAAAAACACGGCACACATTCTGAACGACCGTCTAACATATAACACCATGGTCCATTAAGCACACCACATGTGGTTATCTACATGTGGTTATCTCAGGGATCCTTGCACTGTATAGCTTCTCTGTTAACAACTGAAACCCAACAGCCTGATGATGCAGCCTGAAACACTGTGAAAAACACGGCACACATTCTGAACGACCGTCTAACATATAACACCATGGTCCATTAAGCACACCACATGTGGTTATCTACAT